GGGGGCCCCGGGGGCCCCTACCCCCCCAAAAAATACCCAAGTGCCCCCCCCCCCCCCCCCCGGGTGTCTGCCATTCTTTCAGTGTCCTTTAGTTAACCTTTAGTTAACCTTTAATCCATTGATACTGAATGAATGTGACTGCAAGGAGTCTTATTCATGAATAAATGTTACACTCTATCTTTAATTTCAATTTTACAGAATGCAGAAGAACTCAAATGTATGTGTCAGAAGGCCACTAAGAAAGGTACAGCTAGGGTTATTGGATAATTGAGTTGCAATTTGGAATACTTCATCTTTTGCTCATGATCCTCAAACCTGTTATTTCTTCTTTTTGGGAAATTAAATACATAACCAAACTAATGGTGGTGGTGTGGAATATACAAAGGCTTTGCTGAAACTGGGAAAATAGATTTCAAGAGGCAGTATTGCGTACGCTTCCTCCAGGGAGTGAATCTGCTCATTTTCTTCTGTTAGTCAAGACACGTAACTTTCTAACTTCCTTGTTTAGTGTTGTTGGTGCTTCTTTAACATATGGCAGGTCATAACGTGTTGACATTCAATACATTTTACACTATTTGTGATTTACTGTTTTTAGACTCCAAGCCACTGAAAAGCTTACTAAATCAGGAATCCACCTTTCGAGCAGTCTGTGAAATGCTGGATACCAAAGTATCTAACCTGGGTGACTATAAAGATGTGGCTCAGTATTATGGGTTTGACTTTTACCAGATAATGTCAGTACTTGGTCAAGCAACTTGTCAAGGAGAACCAACACGAACCAGAGCACTGATTGTGTCACTTGCATGTTCTCGTCCAGATGAAACAGTTGAGGAGTTTGCAACTGTAGTGGAGAGGGAAACCAAGAGAAAAGACGTCAGTGGTCTGTTGAGAGCCTATGACAGGGCAGAAGAGGCCATTGTAGAACTGTAAAAGTTTTTGCCATAAGAAGTGCTGTAAGGGTATAGAGGTCTCCTATTGAGCTTAAACAGGGAGCCTGGGTTACCTGTGCTTAAGGCTGTAATAACCTCAGTTTTCATTCTTTTTTGATAAGATTAATTAGTAAACATGTAAGTATTTACACTATACAATTACTTCATTCTTTTATATTGTTTGATTCTATAGATTCATTAGGAACATTTTGTCAATTGTAGATAGAATACTTAAAAAGACCTCCTATTATACTACTGATTTCCTAATTTTCTTAAGTTGTATACATGTGTTTCCTAACGTCGTAGATATATAATTTCATGATATGATGCTGTAGTGACGGGCGTCGATCGTCAGTGTTCTAGGCATATAATTGCATATATCCAAGACAAAACTTTAAGAATAATGATTGGAGTAGTGCTTCTTTATGGTTTCACTACATATGTTTGTTGTATCTTTACGTAATTAGTAAGTTACTAAGATTCGTTTAACAAAAACATCATTCTTTTTTAAATGAAGAGAATCATGAGAAAATCAAACTCAAAGGAGCATTGTATCAATGTTTGTTTTGTACAGTAATTTTATTGTAATGATATTATTTTAAATAATTTTTTCACATACTGTTTTGTTTTAAACGAAGGCTTAATAATAATATTTTTTACTCTAGTTAATGTTTCGATAATATCTCTGAGCTAGTGGTGAAGTTATACTCAGGTAAAACACCACAAAATACTGAGACTTGTTTGTATGAAATGCCGGTAGGGCTGTTTTAATAAGACAAATTTTACAAGAGAGTCGTACATTATATTCCTCCGTAGGACAGTTAGTAAATTTCCATTTTTTGTGTGTATAAGCAGTTAATAAGACACCGTGTCTATAATATGTGACCTCCTTCTTGCTTACAGGCAAGCCGTAATCATTCGCGATGACATGGAGGTAGCGTTTTCCAGTGCTATGACCCCTTTTCACTTTAAAATTGACACAGTGCAAGTGTACCTTTTCTAGTATATTCTCATTATATAGCAATAAACGGTGTGTTTCATGAATACCTTGCCACATGAGCTCGTTATATTAACGGGGATAAGGGGAGGAGGTTACCGCTATTCTCTCCCTCACCAAAACAAACGACACAGGTTTTTGAGGTCTTTGCCTTGGGTGTTTGAATTGGAATCTTCCAGCCATTTTCCCATATGGCCGACTCTAGTCTTCAGTATCGCCCGTGTTAGCAAGGAGAAGAAGGACAGGGCGCGGCTGGAATTCACCTACCCTTTTTCTTCTCTCTTTCTTCCTCTTCGTTCAAAATCAAAAATGGCACTGAGATTACTGAGCACTCACACGCTCGCTTGCTTGAAAGCTAACCCTACAGTGCATCGAGATCAGTGTATCTGCTGCATACGAACAAACTTTTACCCAAGTATCACTTGCTCTCCCACAATGCATTTCCAAGGGGAAAGCAGGCTCTTTTCTCCCCAAGGGGTCTCCACCTCTTGCCTGGTTGCATTTTCGCTTTCACATCGCCCACCAAGAGATGTCACAGGCTAAACCAATCAACTCAGCGGTATTAAGACTATTAAGCCTTCTCTTTATCGTAACTTGACGTGGAATACACTAACTAAAGAAAACCTCTCCAAACTACGTGCTTTAAGTGTCGTTCCAGTACAGTGCCTCCCCGACCCCCAACCAACCCACCCATACACCTACATAACAAAAGGCTGGCATTGTGACGTAAATACGGCGGGGAATCCCCCTGATTTATCAGCTACGTTTTCAACCAGTTACCTTGCGGCAAAGCTAAGTAGGTTTATAAGATAACAGTTTCGTTGCAACGTTTTATTTTGTGCGCGGTACACGGCTTGATTGGTATTCAAATGAAGATAAATGACAAGAAAAAAGACTAATGGTTACGTGTTTAATTGACCTGAAGGTATGTCTTGAATGTTGGTCTTTGCTGAAAGATCGATTGGACGTGCTTTTAATCTAGCTTGAGCAATTACTTTCATTTAATAGAAAACATCCAACCTTTGGACACGCAAGCGAAAACAAGGGCCTGAAAAGATACGAAGCACAACCAAAGAAGTTGATTCCTTCGCTTATATCGTGGGAATCTTTTCGAGAGCGTTGCTACTAGCATCTTTGGTAAGTAAACAATTATTTGCGGTCTTTATTGTAGCCCTCTATTCTACTACTTATTTCCGTTTAAAACGATATTTCAAAGGGCCCAAATTCAGATTTTTAGCTCTAAATGAAAAACGAATGTAAAAAGTCCTGAATCATGCATGGAAATCAATCTCGTGATCACACGTCAATGGTCACCGGAAATGTTTCCACCATGTCGACATGATTTTGTTTAGACAGACTGTGTGTGGATTGTAACAATAGAGCAGTAAAGTGTGACGTTATAAAAATGAAATTTCTGAAATTATGGGATTTGTCAGGATATTCTGAAAGAACAATGTTCAAGAGGCCTACTTGCCAAAAATGAGCATTTCGGGGCAAATTGTCTCTGAGATCGTAGCCCAGTTATGCTTAGAAAACTCCATACAAACCCTTCTAAATTTATTGGGGGTCGCAATTCTAATTGCGCGAGCAAGAAAAAAATCATATCATTTAGTGTTTCGCTTTGACAAAGAGCGCTTCTTCTGTTTTGAAGAAATTGACTTCAACAGTGATGAGCAATATAAAACTTGTGTCTGTTAACCGCTTTGAAGTTCAAATAGTGACCACATTCTTCCAACAATCAATACATAGAGTAGAGTAATGAGAATTGTTAAACTGATCAACAAGGAGAAAATGTTTTGATCTTTTATCAAATTCTCTCAACGAATGTATGGAGATAAGTTTCGAGAATTTGTATCGGTATATTAGGGCTTTAAGTGTTAAACGATACGCCGGCTCTCAAAATTGTACCATAAGAGAGAAAGTCATTCAGAAAAAAGAAGTCTCTTTAGGTACAGAGACTCTGATCGTACCATTTCAAAGGGATATTAATAAATTTTGGAAATGACTCTGACCTTAAAATGCTAAGGACAAGCGGCCGGGCTCCCTTATTTTTATATACCGTACTTGAAATCAAGAAAATAAGATGATTGTTTGTTAGTGATGATAAACCGCGGGTGGCGAGTGACGGGTGGCGGATGACGGGTGATAAATCCAATTTGTAAAGCAGAAATATCACGATTATAATGAAATAAAATTACTGTAATTAGCTCTATTTATTATTTAAGTAACAGACCACACTTTCTATGGGTTTACCAGCGTGATAACCCACTTGGGATGTTGGGAGAACACTCGCTTGTGTTCTCGCAACATCCCAAGCGGGTTTTCACGCCGATAAAGAGAGGTTAAAGGGAGGGTGTTATCCGCCTCGGCCTACGGCCTCGACGGATAACACCCTCCTCGATCTCCATAATTCTTCATAAGATACTCAGCCTCATTCATTTATTGTTAGATAGGGTAATTGATAACTGGTATATATATTGTAACTTTGAATTATTTCAACGTTTAAGTACCAGCCGGTACAAGACTCCAAAGAAAAATAATTGTCTTGCCTTGTCTACGTTAGGCTACGTATACTTAAGCGGACTATTTTTTCCCCAAGGCTTCATTTTCGCAAAGATTTTGTACATTTTAAACCACAGGTGACCCACGCTCACTATTTGTGTCACGAGCGAGTTTCATATAATATGAGTTAATATTGAGAACATATGGGGCGAAGTTTAGGTCTGGAAATTTGGTAGAAAATGGAAATGAAAATCGAAGAATTTTACCATGTGGCGAGTTGTTCATGTCCTTAATATGCACACGAAGTTTCGGGAAACTTCGTGTGAATATAAAGGACAATAACAACTCGTCACATGGTAAGTTTCATCGATTTTTATTTTCATTTTCTAACAAATTTCCAGACCTACTTTTAACAAAAGAACAAACGCACTTGTCACGGTTCAGACGTGTCAAGACGCGAATGCGATCTTAATTGTCTGGCCTTGACTTAAGATTCCTTGTCTCGGAATAAATTTTACTTTAACCCACCACCCGCGGAAAAGTCCTGCCGTAACTTTCGTGAATACCCCTGTTAGTGACTTTAAAAAAGAAGTTCGAATGCTTTGAACAACAGAAAAAAAGGATGAAAAGACATTCAAGATTAAACGTGATTAAAATTCTAGAGTCGTTAGCCGTTTAATACTAATGACCTTTGTCTTAATGGTTGTCCATCTTTTATGTTTTTCTCGACCGGGTGAAACTAGAGCCGAAAAAACCGGATGCTCTCGCAGGCTACGTGATTTGTTACTGCTCTAATTTATGTCTTAGGTTCAAACACAGACGAGTGGTTGTTATGGTTGCGATGGTGACCAAGTCACATGGAGAAGTGACAATGAAGGACTGAATGACACGTGTCTGCCGTGTATCGACTGCCCGGATGGAATGGAGCCCTCTATCTGGTGCGGAGGGGTTGCCAAATACGGAACAGACCTGCACTGTGTAGCGTGCAAAGTGGGAACGTATTCTGATACCTATGGTAAAGAACAGTGTAGGTCATGTTCTTTGTGCTCAGAGGGGAGGTCAGTTAAACGTAACTGTTCTGCATCGCAAAATAGACTGTGTGGCCCGTGTAACTATGGTTACTACATGAATGATGTTGTCTCAAGCTGCCTACCTTGTTCCATCTGCTGTTGGGATGGTAAAGACCAATTAGAGAGTCAGTGTAAAGAACAGGGATTACCAAGCCATCGGCACTGCAGACCGAGACACAAAGACGGCTGTGATCTATCGACAACAGCAACGAAAGAGAGCACAAGAACTGAGGGCAGGATCGTGATCACCAGTCCAACTACAAATAAGAGAACAATTCAAACGAGAAAAACAACCACGTCGAGAATTTCAGTCACGGTACAAGACGACAGCACCAAAATACAATCAAATAAAAGTACTACACCTTTCCAGTCGCACTCAACTGCCACGGAACAGCTGGAAGAAGAAATAATCAAGCGTAAGCCCACGTCCCCAACAGCTCTGACCCGACACCCGAGAAGAAAGAACCGAGAAAACACTGCATCTACACACTTAACCACGAGGGTATTTTCTTATGGTAAAGGTAGAAGATCTCTGGCAGAGAGGAGCGAAAACGAGAGGAGAATTATCATAGCCGTTGTTGTCAGTATGGTGGTTCTAATCCTCTTGGCTGTCATTATCAAAAGGAACACTGTTGGAAACTACTTGATATGGATGAAGTGTCGTCCAGTTTGTAGGTCTCGCGATTCCGAGCTCGGTGAAGGCACCGAGAGTAGCAGTTTAGACGAAAGCAGATCATCAGTCGTGGTTGTCCCTGATGTAAATGGAGTTCAGGGAGGTAAGTGCAGTTTTCTTAATTTTCTTTCTTCCATTCTTTCTTTCTAAATTTCCGGATTCCAGTATAAAGAGAACTTGGTCGCTTTTGCAATCGCTTTATGTACTTGTTTGGTCTTACAAATTAAGCTTGTTGTTGTTGTTGCAAAAAAAAAGTACATAGGCGATATGCTACAATTGGAAAAAATATGATGCAAATATGTGCAGCGAAACAAAGCCTGTATCTAAGGCCGCAAAAACAGAGAATACTGCATCCAGAAATACGTTTCACTCTCCCAGGAGACTTCTAAAAGTTTAGTACCAGACGACAAAAATACACAAGAGACTTCGGTGGAAGTGAACTTCCAGCATGAAATTTACGTGGTACCTTTTTTGAGGTTTTAATCATTTCATTTCTATATTTCTTACAGTTCTGTCTCCTTTGAATACACTCAAATCTCTTTCATTAGACGCTTACGAAAAAGTCTGGAAGCGACTGGACAAACGGCCCGAAGGAACAAACAAAGGTGACTTTAAAACTGTAGCTCTAGAGTTCGGGTTTGAAGAGGAAAACATTTGGGAACTAGAAAAGGAATTTAAGACGTCTGGATCGGGAAGTCCTTCAAGACAGCTGCTAGAAGCCCTGGAAACAAGACGACCTCAGTTAACTGTCTTTGAATTTATTATAGTGATGAAGAAGCCAAACATCGATAGGGACGATATCGTTGACATCCTTACAGATTACCTTTTCAAATGAACATCACTTTTTCAAAATTGAATATCTTCTCTGTGATTACCATTCCACTCAGTAAAATTGTATCGACATTGTAGGACCGTCCAGCTGAGTACCACACCTATCGTAAAATGGTAAAGCCCAAAAAAGCGGGGTGCGTTCCAGTGGTACGACAGCTCACACAAACACAAAAAATCCAATATGCCGACGCACGTAAGTCCTTCAAAGAAGCCGGGAGTTTGTAGACTCTTCCTAAATGTAATCTTTCGTTTATTGACATGATTCAACGTTTTTTTATGAACAGGAGCTCTGCTTAATGTATATAGTAGTTTTTCATTTTAAGTCGCCATATCATAGCCCATGAGTTGCTTGAACGGTGGACAGTGCTGGTCACTTCCATACTGTCATGATGTATCTCCTTTAAACAATAAATAAACAAGTTAGCTGACATTTAGCATTTTGAAGCAGTTTTTTTCTCGTGCCAAGATTGGAGCACCGCCTTTTACAGCCCCTTTGTTAATTTACGGATAGAGGTTTATTTAGCTTTTTATATCCAGTAACCTAGTAACTTGACATTGGATCAACTTTAAAAAGCAGTTTTCTTCTTGTGCCGAGATTACAGGATCGCCTTTCACAGCCTCTTTCCTAATCTACGAACAGAGGTTTATTAAGCTTTTTGTCTTTACGGCGAAACCAACTGTTTTATCGTTTCGCGTCGCTGATTTAAATTTTTAGGGTTGAGATTACCAGATTACCCCTGAGTGGATCTAGGAAAGTCCTCTTTTAACTTCGTTTGCAAGTACGATCTTCCTTTTAATCAAATGAGCCGCGGCAAGAATCGAATTCCTTCTAAGCGCGAGATGTTACTGACACAGCGAAAACGTGGTAATGAATTACATATATAGTAAATCAGTGGCTATATTTAATGACTCCTACCAGTCGTACAAGTTTGACCCGGATCCGTTTGACCCTCGACCCTGTTTGCGACATGACTGTCTGACGTAATACGAACCATAAAAGGTGGTTAGGCGAACCCCCGACGGAAAAGAGCATTGCACTTTTGGGTCAATGTTGGTTGCTGATTCTATGCTCAATCCAAAATAGTATTGTACCCTTAAATCGTTCCTAACGACTTTCTTAAAGCAGCACACATGAAATTCCACTTTTAAGAACCTAAAGAGTGGCCTGCGTGGCAGGTGTTAAAAGGGGAAGGGGAAGGAGGAATTTGGGCGCGCGGTCGCACGCCCTAATTCACTTCCCCTTCCTTTTCGAACGCCTGCAACGCAGGCGCGTTGTTAACATTTCGCCGTGTTTCTTTCCAAAAATATACTATGGGGTCATGAAGTCTCACTAGGCGCTGGCGCGGTCAAATTTCCCTACGATCGGCTAGAGTTATTAGAGAATATTATTATATTATATTCCGATATATCAACTTTGCCTGCTTTCAGGAAGTTCCTTATGTTGTTACGCAACGCTCGCTCATGGGCCGGAGGGAGGAGCGTTGCGTGACGAACGGTTGCCCATATGTGGCTAGATGTTTAGGTTGTTTGTTATTTTTATGGTTTTTCACTTTTTGTTTTCGTAAGAAATATTTCGTGCACTGGTTTTAGTGTTACAACCGATACCCAGGTCACATGTTCGTGAAGCGAACGCAGTGAAGGAATTTTCAGGGAAATTAACAAGTCATATCTAACCGGACTGTAACACGTAATAAATTTAGGCATACATACGCTAAACATAACAACTGAAACCTTTATCTACAATCAAAATATTCAGCTATAAATCATCTGGCATAAAATGATGACTTTTGTTATTGCGAATAGGTAAGGGCACCTTCAGAAAGTATTTGCCGTGACCCCCGCGTAATTTATCCAATTAGAAGTCAGTAGTATTCATGCATGGAGCCTGCGACCCAGACGAAACTCAATTCTGGTTAAGTTCTGGTTAATAACCGAGGTTAAATTACGTCTGCGACGCAGGCTAGTATTCCCGCAACTTGCAACAAGCTGATTTGTTGCCAGGGCCAGGTTAGTTTTAGCGTGGGTGGTAAAACGTTCAACTCGTTTTGCAGCAAGTTACAAGTTTTTGTCGCCCCCTTTACCGCACCTTAACACGTGCTCGCGGGGTATATATACTCTCTTATTTCACCAAGACAAGTATGTGCCGCTGAAATGGTTTGTTTTTTATGGTCTCGAGTCTTAAACAGAGCATACAATTGCACAAGTGTCTTGAACAAGGTTTATTTTTGGCCTGGGAGCCTTTGAAAGAGTGTGAAGGTTTGCGATGAGCGCTCGACATGTGAGGTTTACTATGATAACAAAAATCCAATTCCATGATGTTAGTTTAAAAAATTGCTTTAATGTCTTTGCGAAAATGAATGAGGCTCCTGAAATCAGGTCTCCAGCAAAATGAACAATTTTGTCCTAATCAGGGTCGAGAGAGTCTATTAATTTAGATCATTCTCTCGTCAGGGTTTGAAGGGCTCGGCGGTACACCTCTACCCCAACTGACGTTAGAAGAATTTGCTGCATATCAGAAATATAATGTGTATGTAAACACTGTAAACGCTGGACGAGCTTGAATGGATAGTGTAACAGGCAAAACGTGCCTAACGAAGGGCTAACGAGTTTTACTTGCCCTGAAAGTCACCTGATATGCAGAATATTTTTTATTATATATATATATATATTTTTTGTTTTATTTTTGTTTTTGTTTTTTTTAAATATTTTTATTTTTAAGCGCTGATGAAAATAGCAATATTGATATCGGCGGTATATAAGTAGTATTATTATTATTATTATTATTATACGTCATCCATTCAAATATAGCGGTGTAATTGATATACGGTATACGTCATGCATTAAAATACAGTGCGACTGCCAGAAACGTTGAATTTTTTTTGGAGAAATCACTGATGAAGTCGTGATGCATTCCCACCCTTAAAAGTTCGTTTTCAGAGAAGCTAGTCGATTAGCTGATTTTATCACGACTACCTACAACTTACGCAATAGTTGCATTGGGGGAATCCCCGAAATTTTCTTCTAAGACCTTCTTCAGTCAAAAGGCTCTGCTTTAGCTTGTCGTAGTCTAGCCATCCACCCGTTCTGCTGACACTTGTGATTCAACAATATGTAACTTTGTAACTGACAACACTATTAAATGATTTAATTCAATTCACTTGATAGTAAACGGAAAGTTTCAGGAGTTGATGCCGTTGGCCTACGCTTGCGCTTTAATACTCAGTATGGGTATTGAGTTTCAGGAATAGGTCATTATGTGTGACACTATTCTTTAAAAATAACTGTCAGCGAGTCAGTCTGATCGAAGCCTCACACGCTGGCAGCGTCGGAAAGTTCGTATCAACTGAATCTTCCCATATCACATTGCAGGCAAATATTTGAATAAATTACATACTTCTCAGTTACCAAGTCAGCTTCGTTAAAGCATTAATCATTTCGGTTAAGTTTTCATTAAACTTAACATGTCACATCTAACGCAGCTGCAACTACTTACTGCCCATCATACTTTTATATGCAAATTACCAGCTTGAATGAAACATAAAATATATATACTACAGTTTGTTGTATCTAGAAAGCGTTTACAAATAGATAGTCGGATAAAACTAGAATAATTATATTACTGCCTCTATGGCTGTCTCTAAAACTAAATTTCTTATCTTTTCTGGTTATAAAAATCGTATTGTAGCGACTGTTGGCATATTCGTAAAAATATGTAGGAAAATGCAGGCGGTTTATGTATGAGTGGTCTGACAGAAGTTAATGATTTTAATGAAGAATTCAAAATATGTTACGCAGGAAGTGATGCAATAGCGTGGGATGCTTTTGGCCTGTCCTCGAGCGCAAGCGGTCAATAAATCCCCCGTGGTTTTTATTTGTATACGCGCGCTCAACGATCTCTAAATAAGATCAGAAAACTCGTACTTTTCGTTCTTGTTCCTCTTTCTTCGTTCTTTCTGCCGCCTGCTCTCTTGAGCGCATTTCTTTTTCTGTTCTTTTCTATTATTTCCGATTCCAGTTTACTTCTCCTTCTCGCTCCACGTCGTCTTTCTAATCCATCAGAAAAGGAGCTCAACAACACTCAGTCGTCCTTGAATGCGTCTGGATCTTCACGTTCTTTGAAGCCACCTTGGTGTCAATGGCCAGTTCAAGGCGTTCACGACGAAAAACTTTAAAAAGTGGGACCAGAAAGGGGACACGGCATGGATGTGTGTACTTCCTGTCTGAAAGCCTGTACCCTGTGAGCAGAGGGCCTTCAATCTTCTTAGTTAAGTTGGGAAGAGGAAGGGAAGATCGAAGGACCTCTGCTCACAGGGTAGAACGCCTGAAACAAGCTACCTTCACCTGTATCTTCATGCCTGCAGCAAGGCTGGGGAAACATTGTCTTCTACAACAAACCGTCTCCCATGCCTTAGCTTACACATTTTCTGTCATACTATTTTCTGTCGTAATGTTAGCCTTTGTACCCGCTGTTTCAGATATTTTTCACCATTGCATTTTTTTGCTCATAGGCTTGTTTATTTGGAGATATAACATTTCCGTGCAAGGCGGGACAGATCCACTGGAAACCGAACTCTACATCAAGGGAGCAATACAAGTGTCTGGAGTGCCCTTCTTGCTTTGAGGGATTAGAGCCTTCTGTCCCATGTGGCAGTTCAGTTCCATACAATACTCCTGTTCACTGTGTGCCATGCCAACTTGGTAAAACTTACTCAGACGGAAATAACAAAGAGCAATGTAAAACATGTAGGGTGTGTTCCCCAGGGAAAGCGATAAAAAAGAACTGCACCGTATCATCAAACACTAAATGTGATGATAAATGCGCGCCGGGATATTATGGGGTGCCATTTATCTTCGCTTGCCATCCTTGCACAAAATGCTGCAATGACGAGAAAGACAAATTTGCAGAGGAATGTGTAAATTCGAAACAGAAATGTAAGGTTCGCTCAATGCCTTGCAAAACAGAATCAACGCCGTCTTCAACTGCAGGTACAGTTGGACAATCGACACTAACCGCCCTACAGTCAAGTCATAAACCAGGGAAACAAGTGTCTGCAATTCCGCCTACTTTGCCTGGGAACAGTCGTGTTGTTGATGATCGAGACAAGGTAGCAACTTTTCAAAAGGACAACGCTAATGGCGATGATAATACAGAAATTATTACTGTGGCAGCAGTGTTTGCAGTGCTTGGGGTGTTAATAGCCAGTGTTGCTGTGATGGTCCTCATATATCAAGGGCAAATACCCATAGATACCGGATTGTGTCGCTCTGATAGAAGTCATGATGAAGGTGCAATTGAAGCTTATCAACTTAGGCAGCTAACTTTTACATCGCAAGGGCAGCTTCAGCAAGGTAAAAAGTTTTAAATATTAAAGTGAAACCCACTTTACATCAACTGACATAACGTAGTCAGGAAAAACGGACCCAATTGTTGTATTGCTTGAGCAGTGCCCGCTGTAATCTTATATGTCATGGTATTCAGTGACATTGTATTTTGATGGATGACTGCCGTAAAGGGATAAATACTGAAATAAATATAAATAACTGAGTGATAATCATTTGTCGCAATTCCCCCCTTAGATATGAGAGACAATATTTGATGTCAAAAAGGACGGGTATTTCGCCCAAAGCGTGAATTCTAACCAGGGGCGAGGTCAGCTGAATTATGTTGCAGTATATTTTAGAATAACCCTATAACATACTAATCTGGTTATATTTTATAGGTGGTATGACACTTACAGAGTTGGAGAGCAATAACCAAGAGCTCTTTGACGAGATCTGCTTGATGCTTGATAACGGAAAACGATGGTTCAGGTCGGATTATGAACGTTTAGCTGCACAGTTCGAGGAAATTCCACTTCTTATTCGCAACACCTTGAAATCCGAGCTTCAAAGAGGAGAAAGTCCTTCAAAGTTGTTAATGACCAACCTCCAAACAACATATCCAAGTCTTTCTTTATACCATCTTGTCGGGAAGCTGAAAAAGATTGGACGTAATGACGTTGTCAGAAAACTATCGCCTTATGTGCAGGACAATGTTGAAAGCCCACCTAATTAGGAAATCGTGAAGCTACCTTTTTGTGAAGTATGTCTATGCCTGCATGTCTAGCAAAGACATGCAGTTGATAGACAACTGATTCTGCAGTCGATCAAAGAATGGCGGGCTTCTGCCATTGACAAAGGTTCATGCAAATGTTTCCCAAACTCCAGTCGCCAATTCTATAAGAAACCTGTCAAAGGACTTTAAGAACAAACACTGCACGAAAGATGGATTTGCACAATTTTGCTCTTGGCAAATAGGTGGCAAAAGTTTGCAAGCTGAGGGATAAATGTGGGCAAAGATGGTACATGCCACATTTGCTTCCTAATTTACAAACTTAAAAGGCCTTCAATGACTTACGTCTTCATTGTCAACACTTTTAAGGTGCTATGTCATAGGATTTTTGAGTTATGTGCTCATAAAAAAAAATTACCTTGTTATTTAATGAAACTTCAAATACTAATATTGGTTTAGTACAATCATTGGAGAGACTATGGTACAATATGAAAACACAAAAGTTGAATAGAAGTCAATACTAAGCCATGAATGATAAAGAATGTTTTGGAAATAGATTAAGTCGTAGAAAACATGGCACAGCCCCATTAAAAACGCATCATTATACTGATAAGTAAAAATTACCACAACTATGGTTTGTACTTGGGACTTCCAATTTTTAAATACGTAAGGTAACTAGCGCACCACGAAGACTAAAACCTTGAATGGTGCAAGCCCAACAGACAAAAAGAAAGAAATTACCTTCTGAGTCTGCCCTGCACATTTAGGTCTGCTGTACCATGTTCCTTTGTTAGTCAGCAAATTCAGAACCCCAGAAACGATTATTTAGGTTGATTCTAATCAAAAGAGGATCTCTTGATATAATTTTATTATTATTTAAAAATATCTGAATGTAGTTCTGTTGTAGAAAACATGTGAAATAAATTATTTAAAAGAGCTTCTGTTTAATAATGCATAAAATGATTTCAATATACAAGAGTGCGAGATTAAGGCCCCTTGCACACGAATCCAGACTTTTTTGAAACCTAATTTCTTTTTATCCAGATTCATGTGGACAGGACCCTTTTAAAACCACTTTTAAGAGTGGTTTAAAAAGATGCAGCTTCAGTGAGCAAGTGATTCACTGATTTCGTGTGGACGGACTCAGGCCGTTGTGCGTAAAAACATTCATGTGGACGTGGCATCGGTGCATACATGACATTTTTGGTCGCCAGACAATCGAAGTTTGAAGGTCGTTTAAATAACGAACGTACACTTACCGAGTAGGCTACTTTTGGGGGCTTGGAGTATCTGACTTATGTGCGTGGAACAAAATATTTGTCGCAAGTGTGTTTAGACTTCAATAGTCAGTGTTACAGTTCTCGCCCAACACCCAAAGAATATTTTTTAAAGCAAGAGCGTGTTAATTTTAGTCACTTGAACTGAATGAATCGTTCCCAATAAACAAAGTAATTCCAAAAATAATTGGAGCAAGTAAGAAAGTGTGGTAAGTGACTATGGTTTNCCCTCCCCCCCCCTTCATTTGAGGGTTCCCCCCCGGGGGCGGGGGGGCCCCCCCTCCCCAACCTCCCCCCGGGGCCCCCCCCCCCCCCCCGGCGCGTGATTGATTACCTTTAAACAATTTGCTGCATATCAAAAATATAACGTGTATGGAAACACTGTAAACACTGGTAGAGCTTGAATGGATAGTCTAACAGGCAAAAATGAAAAAAAATGTGCCTAACGAGTTTTACTGGCCCTGAAAGTCACCTGATATGCAGTATTCGTCATCCATTAAAATACAGTGCGACTGCCAGAAACGTTGAAACTTTTTTGAGAAATCACTGATGGAGTTGTGTTGCATTCCCACCCTTAAAAGTTCGTTTTCAGAGAAGCTAGCCGATTTGCTGATTTTATCACCACTTCCTACAGCTTACGCAACAGTTGCATTGGGGGAATCCCCGAAATTTTCGTCGAAGACCTTCTTCAGTCAAAAGGCTCTGCTTTAGCTTGTCGTAGTCTAGCCACCCACCCCTTCTACTGACACCTGTGATTCAACAATATATAACTTTGTAACTGACAACACTATTAAATGATTCAGTTCAATTCACTTGATAGTAAACGGAAAGTTTCAGGAGTTGATGCCGTTGGCCTACGCTTGCGCTTTAATACTCAGTATGGGTATTGAGTTTCAGGATTAGGTCATTATGTGTGACACTATTCTTTAAAAATAACTGTCAGCGAGTCAGTCTGATCGAAGCGTCGCACAAAAAGTTTGAATCAACTGTATCTTCCCATATCACCTTGTTTCTGTTCGTATCAGTTTATCTCAAACACGTTGGTGAGTATCGGAAAAATCTCATAATTTGCATATCCCGGAGTGGGACAGTTTAAAAAACTTGCTGGCCACGTTGAGCATGAGGATCGCCGCCATGATGGCGAAATGGCGGCTGTTACTCATGATAGTTTTGGGTCGAATGGTGAGTACTAAAACCTTCACATCTTCCACTTGGGGGCAGGATGGTCACACTGGCACATATTACTTCCTACTCACCTTTAGTTCTTTTTGTTTAATGGCAAAAAACTGTAGATTTAAGTCGCTGAGATAAATGTGCTGACGCATCAAAACATGTTGGAAACGTGTTGCAGAGAACCTTCATGGTCCGACGTCCTTTCTGGGCTTTACTGGGGACTCCCTCAACATTCGCTTGAAAGACTTATGTTGTTTGATAACGTTTTACTTTGAAAAGCGATACCTTGAGCACATGTGATTTCAGGCAAATATTTGTATATATCAGACATTAATCAGTTAACAGGTTTCTAGCTTCGTTAAGCGGTAATCATTTCGGTTGTGTTTTTCTCAGTTAAACTTGACATGTCATATCTAACGCAGCTGCCACTACTTTCTGCCTATCATACTATTACAGTATATGCAAATTACTAGCTTGAATGAAATATATAGAGGATATTACACGGTGGCGAGAAGATATGAATTTTATGTTCGAGTGGCAAGAACAATATCTCACGAGTGAGCGAAGCGAACGAGTGAGATATTGTTCTTGCCACGAGAACATAAAATTCATATCTTCGAGCCAACGTGTAATGTTCTTTTTATTATATGGAGAAACCAATTCAACAAAAGCAAAAGGCGGGAATCGTGACGTCATTGAACGATACGACACTCACAAAGGTGACATACGGAAAATACGCCACTCGGGTCCAAGATGAAGTGGCGTATGGAATCTACGAGTGGTTTAGTTCCCAGTAAAACACTCTCCTCCATATAATAAAAAAATATATATACCGCAGTTTGTTGTATATAGATAGTTGGATGAAGCTAGGATAATTATAATACTGCCTCTATGGCTATCTCTAAAACTGAATTTCCTATCTTTTCTGGTTATAAAAGTCGTATTTGTAGCGACTGTTGACATTATTCGTAAAAATAGATAGGAAAATGTAGGGGATTTATATCAGTGGTGTGACAGAACAGGGGCACTCAACGAGAATATAGTTCAAAGCCACTTAAACATAGCATTATTAAACGTATTTTAGTATTTAAACGGTAGATATAGGCATTTTTTTGTCCCCCCAAAATTTTTCATCTGTTCGGATTTCCTAGCTGAAAGTCTATTGATCCGAAAATTTTAGCCAGAAAAAAGGCTCCCGAAAATTCTAGGTGACCTTTTTAGAGTAAAAATCCGTTAAAAATTGGCAATTATACAATTTTTTAGACGTTCGAAAATTCTAAGAGAGACAAGCAAGCAAGAAGTTTTCAACAAATGTTCCGAAAATTCTAGATCTCAAATCGTCTTCCGAACAGACATTTTCCGAAAATTGACGTTGGGTGCCCCTGACAGAAGGTACATTGTATAGGGTATAGGGTTAGGGTTAGGGTTAGACAGGAAGTGACGCAATAGCTTGAGATGACTGCGTGATTGGTACAGGCTCTTACACATCAATTTTGGCCTGTCCTCGAGCGCAAGCTGTCAATAAATCCCCCGTGGTTTTTATTTGTATAAGCGCGCTCGACGATCTCTAAAAAGATCAGAAAACTTGTACTTTTCGTTCTTGTTCCTCTATCTTCGTTCTTTCTGCCGCTTGCTCTCTTGCGCACATTTCGTTTTCTGTTTTTTTCTACTCTTTCCGATTCCAGTTTACTTTTCCTTCTCGCTCCACATCGTCTTTCCAATCCATCAGAGAAGGAGCTCAACAACACTCATTCGTCCTTGAATGCGTCTGTTCTTCACTCTCTTTGAAGCCACCTTAGTGTCAGAGGCCAGTTCAAGGCGTTCACGACGAAAAACTAAAGAAAGCGGACCAGAAAGGGGAAACGGCATGGATGTGTGTACTTCCTGTCTGAACACCTGTACCCTGTGAGCAGAGGGCCTTCAATCTTCTTAGTTAAGTCGGGAAGAGGAAGGGAAGATCGAAGGACCTCTACTCACAGGGTAGAACGCCTGGAACAAGTTACCTTCACCGGTACCTTCATGCTTGCAGCAAGGCCGGGGAAACAATGTCTTCTACAACAAACTCTTCCACGTCTTAACTTACACATTTTCTGTCATACTATTTTCCGTCGTATTGTTAGTCTTTGCACCCGCTGTTTCAGATATTTTTCATCATTTCACTTTTTTACTCATAGGCTTGTTTATTTGGAGATATAACATTTCCGTGCAAGGCGGGACAGATCCACTGGAAACCCAACACTACATCAAGGGAGCAATACAAGTGTCTGGAGTGCCCTTCTTGCTTTGAGGGATTAGAGCCTTCTGTCCCATGCGGCAGTTCTGTTCCATACAATACTCCAGTTCACTGTATACCATGCCAGCCTAGTAAAACGTACTCAGACGGCTATGGCAAAGAGCAGTGTAAAGCGTGTAGGGTGTGTTCCCCAGGGAAAGCCATAAAAAAGAACTGCACTGTGTCATCAAACACTCTATGTGATGATAAATGCTTGCCCGGATATTATACGGTGCCATTTATCTTCGGATGCCATCCTTGCACAGAGTGCTGTAATGATGAGAAAGATGAAGTCGCTGGAGATTGTGCAAATTCGGAGAAGAAATGCAAAGTTCGCTCAACGCCTTGCGGCAGAGAATTAAAGCCGTCTACCACCTCTGAAACGGTTAAAGTATCTACAACCTCACCAACAACGTATAAGAAGCCGATAACGAGTGACCCAACTCAGTTAGAAACAAAAGTTGAGAAACATATCTCTACAGTCTCACCACCCTTGTCAGGGAACAACACAAATGGCGATGACAATGGCGCATTGATAATTGTTTGCACAGTGTGTGCAGTTATGGCCACGATCGGAATAATTGCTCTTTTTGCTTCGAAAATATGTCGGGGTCGAATAAACGCGGATACATACCTGTGTCAATGGAACAGAATTTCGAATGATAAACGTGCAGAGGACGTCTCCGAACTTGAAACACTTAAATCACCATCACAAGAGCAGCTTTACCAGGGTAAAGTGTCCAATGTACTAAATAACTTATCGGATGTAAGGGCTATGTAAGGAGGTATAAATTAACACGTAAAAGGTCATGACCATGGTCTTGATGTTACTGTGGGTAGCGTCAATTTGATTTTAAATATAGCACGTTCGATTTATTAAAATTCTAACATGACGCCTAGGCTTTAGGGACAAAACTGCTATAATCATTTTTCACAACTCCATTGTCTCGCAATTCCCAGAAGAGACTTGTGCGCAAGGAAAACCAAACGAAATATAGAAAAATAACCAGAAAGCCTCGGAGTCACGTTAGAATTTAAATATATCAAACATGAGCTGTTGGTGTGCAGCGCAGAGAAGAATACATCATTAATTTTATTATCATGGCTGATGTTGCAGCAGGGTGGGGGACTAGATGGACGACCGGTGTCCTGTATCTGAGATACTGTCTGTTCCCAGGATGTTTCAAAAATAAACTGGCAAGGGGTTGCCTCTAAAAGATGACGTCAAAATCAGATTTCGTGTACAGCAACAATATAGTAGGGGAACTTATGGGGAAAATGACACCGCTAATCTATTTATTTGCAATTTCTAAAATTTCTTTAGACGACATGACCCTTAGCGAGTTGCAGGAAAATAACCAGAAACTATTTGACCAGATGTGCTTGATGCTTGATAATGGAAGACAATCGATCAGTAGGGACTACGAACGGTTAGCTGCATGTTACAATGGAATTTCACTGGAAGAACGCAACGCTTTGCATTCTGAGCATGATGGCAGCAGAAGTCCTTCAAAAATGTTGATGAATCATCTCCAGACAAAATATCCTAGTCTTCCAATGCGCCATTTTGTTCGGACGCTGAAAGAGATTGGACGAAATGATCTTGCTGAAAAGTTAAAGCTTTATGTTAAGAAAAATGTTGACAGATTCCCCGCTTAGCAAAGTGAGTCTTGAAGCTCTTCTAGCGAGATATTAGAGAAGTCGAGAAAACCTTCAGTCGAAGGACGCATTTCCCCCATAACTGTTTTCACACACTCTTGTCTCTAATATAACGAATTCGCCCAATCAGAAATGAAGCTCTTCAAAATCCTAACGTTAAGGATTCTTCTGTGAGGTCTGTTAACATACTGACTTAATACATTTAAACAGCCACATAGGATAGCTTGAAGTTTACTTTGTACTGTTAAATAGGTTTAAATAGTTCTGGACAAACAGGTGCTGAATTGAAGCATTTTCCTAGCATACAGACTGGGCAATAAAATTATTTGGTGCTTTTTGGCGGCTTGATAAATTCAACCAGCACGCGATGCCATAGAAAATTATCGAAAACGACTCTACCAGTGGATAGGAACTGAATGCTGCTTTAAAAGTAGCGGGAAAATCTGTTTGGTCCTGTCTGCTGCTGTAAAAACTTGAAGAGCGTATCTTTGATTGCAACTTAAAACTGAGGACATTTTGTGATATAGGAAGCTCTAAGGGCAAATTTTAAACTCCTGTACATCCTCATTGCCATAGCAACACTTAACAGGAGCTCTGTCAACAGATATTAACGTAAAATTGCTAGGTTGAAAATAAAGGAAACCTCCAATTATTAGTTTGAATTTAGCACAAAAGAACAACACATATGCAGTGGAGGCAGCAGATTAATATGGATTGCAAATGTCAAACTTGATAAACAACAAGTAAGGTGCAGAAAACATGACAGAGCCCCTATAAATGCACATCATCACACGTTAAAATTATCAGAAAAAACTCATACTTCCGAGATGACGATGGTGTGTCATCTTAGATCTTGGATGGTGTGAGGAGAAAATTCAAGGTAAAAAGAATAGGAAGTTACCTTTTGTTGCGCACATTTAAGTCCATTGTACCTTGTTCCCTAGGAAAATTATTTAAGTTGTTTCTAATGTAATTATAAGTTGTGAAAATTGGGTTGTTGTGTTGCAGTAAATATACAGAAAGATTATTTAAAAGAGCTTCTGTTACTGTAAATTACTTAAATTAAAATGATTAAAATTTATAAGAGGGTGCATTTAAGAACAGTTGGAACTCATCTTACCATAAGACACCTTGCTGATTGTTGATAATCATTTTTGTCACAAAATAGAAAAATTGTCTTAACTATGTACATGTACTTTGTAATGCAGTGGGAATAATTAAGCTTATTTAATTTGCTGAGAATTTGAAATGGGAAATCAATAAATCAAGGGGCATTTTACAATAAAAATAGCATGATTTTATTGGCTGATAAAATACCGAAAAGAAATGGATACATTGTTAGTAATAATGCTGTATGCTTTTGATATAAAGTAAAGTAGTGTGCTAAGGTTTCTGTGTATACAAGCTGTAAATAATATTGCTAGAGTAGATAAAAGATTAAAACTTTTGTTAAAATATTTGTCTGATATCTGCTAAAATCTNGCTGAGAATTTGAAATGGGAAATCAATAAATCAAGGGGCATTTTACAATAAAAATAGCATGATTTTATTGGCTGATAAAATACCGAAAAGAAATGGATACATTGTTAGTAATAATGCTGTATGCTTTTGATATAAAGTAAAGTAGTGTGCTAAGGTTTCTGTGTATACAAGCTGTAAATAATATTGCTAGAGTAGATAAAAGATTAAAACTTTTGTTAAAATATTTGTCTGATATCTGCTAAAATCTGAATTATTCAGGGGTCTAACAGATACTGTGCAAACCTTCGCTGTCTCCCATACGGGTAATCACATCTTCTACATTGCAGACCCGAATTTTGAGCTTTTCTGTGCTTACATTTGGGATTAGGCCCATTTTCCCTCAATGCAAAAGTCACAAATGTTTTCAAGCATAGTATGGCTTCTGTGGCATTGTTGCAAATATTTCATCGATGACAAAACCCCAGGCAGGTACTCCCTTGTATAAGCTATACAGGGGCGGATCCAGGATTTTTTTTTTTAGGAGGGGGTGCACTCGTCTCTTGCTCTACTTCAACACCAATAAACCACAGAGTTTTTTTTTTGCAGAATACCAGTTGTATTAGAAAACCGCAGATCATCTCAGGTGCGCACCCCCTGCACCCTCCCCTAGATCCGCCCCTGCTATATAGGTATGTGCTGCTCCAAAGGGTAGGGTTTTTTCCCTGTTTTCAGTTTGAAATGGATTTAAAGAAATCATTTTGTTGGTTATCTAAACTAAGTAATCATGACATTTTCAGAAAGCGAATATGGATTTAAGAGGCCAGGTCTGAAAACAGGTTGGAAAGAGACATCTTATGGTCTGAAATAGGGACAGCACACCCCTACCAAGAATTCGCAGGAGTATCCCCCGGGGACAAGACTATTTTGTCATGAAATCAACTTTTTCATCTTAGACAAGGAGCGCAAGATGTCAGAATATGAGTCCTGAATTACAATCATGTTATATTTTGGGAATTGGTTTGATTTGTGTTTATGATGAGGTGAGAGTAGTGATTTATGTTGGGGTTTTAATATACTAGGTTACTACTAAAGACTAAAGAGAGAGGGTCGTGAAGGGGTAAAATGGGAACTGGGATTAGCCTTATTGTGGACTGGGAAAATGGGATTTACTCACTGGGACTGGGATTTAGCCACTGGGAATGGGATGAACAATTATAAAATGGGAATGGGATTTCTTTTCTTCAGCGGTCTTTGCTCCAATATTTTGAAATAGAAAAATAAAATTTCGTAGCAATAGACCTTGCACTCCTCAGTAGAGACCATGAAATCAGTATTTTTCGCCTTCGCCCCCGCGGTCTAGCTACCAGGCTTACACGGTTGCATAGTTAC